ACCGAAAGGGACCGAAGAAGACAGAAACCTAGGGTGTAGCAACCAATACTGGTGTTATCAACAAGATCTGACAATAGGTTGGTAACAAATCATAATTTGTACCATATGAAGTGGAGACAAGGTTGAGAGTGGTAATCCCATCATGTCCACACATCCAAAAATTCTTGGAACTGAGCTCCCACAGTCCCTGAAGGTATACAATAATCACCAATGCTGCTGGCAATCAGATGAAGCAGACAGAATCTATTCTAAAAAACCAATGTATCGAGGGGCTGATGTCAGGGTTGGGACTCAAAAATAGGGGCAGAACTATGGACAATATACACACCAGTTGTCATTCACAAAGATGTTTTCAACAGTAATCATCAAAATGTCTCCAAAACATGAGATACAAAGCCAAGTTCAAGGTTCAAGTGGTGAAGTTTTCTGAAAAGATGAACAACTGTACAGTCAGAAGAAAATTCATTGTCAAAGATTGGCAAAAACAAATTGAGAAGATACAGAGTCTACCAGGAATGAAGTTTACTGCTCAGGGTAGAAAAACTGGTTTCTGAACTGAACTAGAGACAGACCTTATGAAATGGACTGAAGAAAATTGGAAGTCTGGTTTGATCATGACAAGGAACCAGATAATGTTACAAGCTAAGGCATAGGCCAAGAAGAGAAATCTTTCAGAATTTACTACTCACTGGAGTTGGTGCAGCCGGTTCGTGAAGAGACATAACTTGAAACTACAGCAGAAGACGAAAATGACACAAAGACTCCCCACTGACCTTGAAGACATGATAACAAATTTCCAGATCTATGTAATATGATTTTGGGAAGTTTATCAGTATAACCTTGTCTGCATTGGTAATGTGGACGAGACACCAGTATGGTTTGACCTGCCCATGAAAGAACTGTCAATTCAGATGGGGGACAAGATGATACCTGTGAGAACAAGTGGCCACAAAAAAGACAAGTTTCACAACGGTTTTGGCTTGTCTGGATGACAAAACCAAACTCAAGCCACTGGTTATATTTAAATGCAAGATAGTGCCAAAAAAAATTACTGTCCGGTGTTGTGGTCCATGTGCATCCTAAAGGCTGGATGGACAAAGACAGCATGCATGTATGGATCGAGAAAGTGTGGTGTAGATGTTCCGGTGGATCTTTGAAAACAAAAAGCCTTTTGGTGTGGGATACTTTTAGTGGTCATATGACGGAAACCATCAAATGGATAGTATCTCTCATGATGACTGTGGGTACTCATCAGGTGAACCATTTTGTTCTGATGGTAGGCTTCCTGTATTCTTTGGGGGGTAGACTTATATAATGGTGCTACAAATACAAGAGTTTCTGGCCTAGAATTAGGGGGTTGATTTGTATGCTGCAATATATAAGATAGATGCCTGTTTGAACCTGTGGTGCACTACAATTATTAATATTTAGTGATAATAGTATATTACATTTTTTCATCAGCTATCATACAAAAGATACATTACTGTATATTCACATGTATTTTTGTTTAAATCTGTGATGTACTACAATCTTTGATATTTAGTGATAATGGTGGTGCATTGGAATGGAGGGGGGGGGGGGTGCTGTATAAAATAATTGAAAATCACTGTAGTAGCCAATATTAACGTAATCACTAAAATAGGAAATTCATTTCTACTCACTTTATAGGAGCAACATCACAGCACACGTCAGAATCATCCATCAGTTGCTGTAGATTTACACCTTCCTGTGGTTTAAAATCTAAAGAAACAAAAAACTTCATATAAATCTTAACAACTGTTAGTTGTAAATGATGCTAACAATTAAGTCAGTTAAATTGGTACACTGAGAAACAACTACATCAAATAATGCTAGCAATTAAGTCAGTTAAGTTGGTACAATGAGAAACAACTATAACAAATGATGCTAGCAATTAAGTCAGTTAAGTTGGTACAATGAGAAACAACTATAACAAATGATGCTAGCAGTTAAGTCAGTTAAGTTGGTACAATGAGAACCAACTACATCAAATGATGCTAGCAATTAAGTCAGTTAAGTTGGTACAATGAGAAACAACTACATCAAATGATGCTAGCAAATAAGTCAGTTAAGTTGGTACAATGAGAAACAACTACATCAAATATGACTGTAAATATACTGTTCTTATGGTTCAGTCAGCTAAGCTGGTAAAATGAGAGAATTTTAACAAGTGCATCAAATATGTCTTCGATTTTAACTTTAAAAATGAACAGTTTTGATGTATATCACTCAAAGCCATGAGGCTTATCTGTGCTAGCCATCCCTAATTTAGAAGTGGTAAGACTGCCAACTCTTGTCAGACTGAATGGTGGGTCATTCCTCAAATTTAAAACAGCTAAATGCTTGAAAAACTTTTGCTTCAATTAGATATAATTAAAGAAGTTCTGTATGATGTTTGGAAAGACTGAAACTACTTTAACAAAAAACTATGATTTAGGTTTCTGGGTGAAGATATTTTCAGTAATTTGTATTTCATTAAAAACAAGAATAACCTTATTTAAAAACAACTGGTATCACCCTTTCTAACCCTTACCACTTCCAAAATACAGCATCTATTAAGCAAGAGACCATAATGAAAGTGTTGAGGAAGACTCGAAGAAAAAACTTTTCATTACCTTTTCTTAGAAGGTCATCACTTTCTTTTTTGTAATTAAAGGCAAAAAGCACGTGAGAATGTATGTTCTGTTCAATCTTAACCTCGTCGTCTTTTTTATCCACATTAACTGAACTTAACGTCAGTGTTGATTCATGATCTATAACACCTCCACCTTTTTGATTGAAGCTCGCAGACTCCACGGGCAGTGGCAACCGATGATCAACAACATTTTCTCCCTTTTCAATTGACTCCGATGATGACTGCCATTTTGTGATTATGTGCTCTTCTCTTGATGTCATCATCAGCCAAAAATCCAAGTTGTAGAAAATAAGTTCACGATCTATCTTATTTCTTTCAGTTTTAACAGTTTGACTAAAAGTTCACAATTTTAGCAGAGTTATTTTGAAAGTCAAAGACTGTCCAAATTTTTTATAGTTTCTAAAAAAAGAAAAAAAAGAAGTTATATGTACTGTATATTGGATTACTAAAATGAAACATTGTTACAGTAAGAATTTGTCACTTAACTTTCCTTCCAAATATGAAGTGGTTAACCCTTTCACTGCCATGGGAACAGATATATTTCTCTCCAGATATATTTGTTCTCATCGACAGTAAGAAGAAAACACCATGAACAACGAGCATTCTTCTTCAAATTTCCCAAAAGTCAGATAAGTAATCAAATGTTAAAGTATGTCTGTTTTTTTTATTGTATATCTAAAAATAAACGTACCATTGGTAGAGTTCTTTATGTATAAAGATCACAGTGAAGAGAGTTAATAGCAATGAATATGTACACATTTCACACTTGAGAAAAATAATAAATGTTTGACACTTCTAATAAAACTTTAAATTAATGAAAGTTTTATGACGATTCAATAAAAATATAGATTTATAGTGAGTAAAAGCTAAAATATTTGAAGAAACTTCTCAGACACGAGCATTTGAGATATTTAGTCTACAAAATTAAATAAAGCTGATTATATTTTATTAGCAATAAACATACAGTATAAAGTGTTGCTCATAACAAAAAACATCGCTACGACAGTTTAAACTAAACAATACACGACATGAAACTCTTGAAATATTAGGTTAAATGCCACAGATTAAGCAGGCTAAGTAGTTATGTTTGGGAAAGCACTAAAAATTTAATCAAGGATAATTTAAGTTTGCATAGTCAAAAAAAAAAAAGAGGTAGTCACCTCTGTAAACAAATCACTAGTTAGGCCACACTTGGAATACTGTGTTGGCTAATCGGAAATTATGTACTAGGATGATTCGAGGGATAGAAAAGGATAAGATTATCTAGAGAATCAACAGGATGGTCTAATATTGTTGCACTATATCCTGAAGATGACAGGACAAAATTTTTTAAAAAAGACAGGTTCCAATTACGACAATTTTATTTTTCTTCCAGAGGACTAACTTATGGAATGAGTTGACATCAGCAGTAGTGAACGCTGGTACTTTACAAAAGTTTAGAAGGGGGAAAAGGGCAATTTCCTGAAAAATTAAAAAACGGGTAGGTTTAAGATTTTACTTTTTCTCCAGGATGGCTATGCATGAATATTCTCGAAGGACCAAATAGTCCCTTATTGTTCATATGTTATACTGTGTTAAAAAACGAATAAACATTTGAATATAATTATGATAAATCATCAAATCATGTAACTTTGGTTTATTTATCTTTATAAAATACAGGGTGTCAAAAGTATTTGTATCTTCTTTAAAGGTGAACTGATTAATAAGCTTCTTCAAATGATGAGCTAATACATATGTGGTGCAATATCAATAACATTTCTATTTTATATTACAACAAATTTAATGAAACAATATTAATTAAAATATTATATATATATTTAACTAAATATGTATGTTGTTGGTCCAGTGATGACCAAACACTTATTGGAAAAGTAATGTTGACTATAATTCTGAATTTATGAGGTGTATCTTCACAAGATTTAGTCAACAATACAAGTCTGTTGTACACACAAAAAACTGTATGCATTTATGTATTGCTCATGTTTGTATGTGAAATACTGAAGTCAGTCTGTCTCAGATTCTAATAAGTTGGTGTGCAAGGTGATGTTCATTGTATTTGCATAATATCTAGAACCTCTTAGAAGAATAGTCAACTATTCGAAAACGCTCGACTTTTGGGTCTTATTTTAAGTCTATTACACTTATGTGATCCTTTGTGCTAACTTTTATCAAAATCAAATACATAATACCATGTTAAATTGCACACTTTGACCCCCATCTGTGTACATTAAATTAAATAACAAAGTTTGTAAAGCCAATTTTTAACATTTTATAGATTAAAGAATTATTAAAGATAATGCAGTATAACAACTGACAGACAAAATGAGGTCCTTTGATCTCTGTCCATCGTGGTTGTCCCTTTTACTTAAACCATTTTCCTATACTCTGCCCTGACTCCCCAAGTCTTCTTTTGAGCTCTCCCCCTATCTTGTGGCATCTTCCACATCTGAAGACAGTCATTTACAAAAAATTGGCACCTGTTTGAAAAATAAAGCTGCCTAGTTTGCAGATGGTTTCTACCAAGTCGAATCTTAAATCCATGTTCCTTAATTGTACCCACTCCCTTTATAATTTTAAACACTTCAATAAGAAGTTCCTTAACACTTCTTTTCCCAAGAGAAACTAACATTAAGGACTTTAACCTGTTCTCATACATCAGTCCTTCATCCTAAGAATCACCCAAGTAGCCCTCCCTTGAACTCTTTCCAAAAACTCAATGTCTTTTCTAAAGTAAGAAGTCTTAAGACTGAATGCAATACTCTAAATGAGGTCTAACTGTTTAATGGTTGATTCAATAATACATTAGTTTTGTGTATATGTATTTTAACACAAGCACACATTTACATTAGATTTCACACTGATCATGTTCCTGATACTATTATTCAGTTCCACTATGTAGTTCAAATCAACTTGATGAAGGTTTAAAAACATATATGCAAGAATATAAGAAAAAACAGTGACAGAGGATCATGTTCCAGTTGATCTGTCTCTTAAGCTAACCATCCAAGCAGTGTGCAGTTTCTGGTGGTAAGGCAAATACATTTTAGGCTACATTTATAGAAATACTGAATACAAGTCTAAAGATGTATAATTTCATTGTACAAGTTGCTGGTTAGGCCACATTTGCAGTACTGTGTTCACTCTTGGACCCTTTACCTCAGGAAGAACATTGAATTGTTAAAAAGGTTTAAGAGTAGGGCTCCTAGGAATGTATTTTTTGAAGTCTTAATGCGTCTAGAGGCTATTAGGAAACATAAAAAATGTCAACAAGATTCTGAGATTGTATCAGGATATTTTAAGATCTCTGAAATTGTTTCCTCTTGAAAAAAGAAGAGTTACAGAGTATCTGATTCAGGTGTTTAAAGATGTAAGGTGTTGATGCATCATCGTTTTTGTGATTAATGGTAGAACTTGGGAACAAATACAAGTTTTAACAGGATAGGAGTTATCTTCAGATAATACAGTTTCATTTTTCTAACAAAATGATGTGATGGATGGAGTAAATTTAAGGGAGGGTTTGATAAATATCTGAATAACAAGGGCTAACTTTGAATTGTTTGTTTAAAGTTTAGTTTAGTGGATGGTACAGGCGATGAACTAATAGGTCTCTTACTGTCCTTATATTTTGTTTCTAGATTACCCCTACTGACAAAAACTAAAGCCTTCTGTCAAGTGTTTAGATATGAGAAGAGCAAATAGTTAAATTAAAATCCAAGAACAGCTGGGCTAAAACAGAACCAAAAGAGCACACCTTTCTAAAAATCTTTTAAAATGAAGATATGTCTTAAGATCTCACCAGCTCTCATCACAATGGGTATGCTGGTGCATCAAAACATAGCTTAAATAAGATAGGCCATACATTAAATTATATTATAGGTGATGTTAACAACTAATCACATATGATTGTTAGGTAGGGTGTAAATGGATTCCCCCAGGATGGTTTAAGATTAGACCATTTTTAACATTAGTCACCATAAGTAACCTGTTTTGAAAGTTAACCTCTTCAAACAAAATGGAGGTAGCTCATTAATTAACGTCAGGGAATTCATTACAAGCTGAAAGAGTAGCATAGCTTAACTCTTAAGTTCTGGACATTTGACTAAATAAATATTTTCACAATACATGGAGTACAATAAATAACATTCATTTGGAATGTTTTTCTTTGCAGCAATGTATTTTTGGAAATCTTAATGAGTCTAGAGGCTACTAAGAATCATAAAATATGACAACAAGATTCTGAATATTATTAGTTATTTTGATTCCTTCAGTTACAATCATTTTTAAGTATTATGTCTAAGTACATTTTTTATGATGGAGTATATTAATTCTCAAATAAGGTGTTTTTAAATTCTACTAATTCTTGTTTATTGCTTCTTGTAAGAAAATATATTTTTTTGGCAGTTATTACTGCAGAAACATTAAGAATCCGGGGATTGTGTGGGTTTCTGGCAAACACCTATCTCAAAATGGTCATTTACTTTCAGTACAAGTAATACTAATACTTCCACAAACTTCCATTAATGTGCTAAGAGAATAACTGCGTTAAAACCTAGTTCATCCATGGAAGAATCTTTTCCACTACTTTAATTGGCCTAAATGTATGGATGGAGATTATGTCCAGGATAATGGTTGGAGATGGCTTGAATTGGTAATGAAGAAAAACTTTAATATAAGTTTAACATAACAGTAAATGTACAACGTTTCGACATGGTTTTGTTACCATCAGGTATATAAACTTATATACACACACACACAAGTTGGCTACTTTTCGAGACGAAACAAGAGGTCTGAAACAATAAAATTTTAATATAAATTATTAAACTACCTAACAATAACAGTGACACGTCATTTTCATATATTACATACCTTGAAATGACATTTGGAAACAACCTGTTACGCTGAATAACACCAAAGGCACGATATCCCGTGCAATCGTATTTGGCCTAAGACAAAACGGCCCGTAAACCTGCCATTTAGTGGTAATTCCGTTGGCAGATTCAAAATGGCGTCGATATTGAATAAACACATGAAGTGTCGCTATGCGGTTAATTGTTTAGAAAACAACAAAAACCATGATCAAAATAATCTTATTTTAATAGAGCTTGCGAGGTATACGTCCAAAACTCGGATCTCGAAAACTATCGCACCGATTATCACCAATCATAACTGTGTATTATTTTTACAACTAGGCAGTAATTTTATAGATGAGCAATAAATAAAACAATTGAAATTTCCACAAAAATTATATGTTTCAGATTTAACCAATGAAAATTACAAACAAAAAGTGAGCAAGTTTCAGATTTAACCAATAAAAATTACGAAAAAAGAATAAGTTTCAAATATAAAACAATAAAAAACTAACTTTAAAAATTATTTGTTTTTCTTTAGTGAAAATCTCATGAGTGTTGCAACAGAAAAGCAAAGCACTTTCATTTTACAAAGATATACTTCAATCAAATCTACTCTGTGATGATAGCTCATTTTTAAACTAAAATGTCAATAAAATTATTTTCCTCATGGATGTTGAACGTTATTGAATGTCAAGTATGAGTACATTGTTGAAGAACTGTCAGAAAATTCCAGAAAAGACCGCAGACACAATAGCTTTCCGCAGTAACCAGCAATTATATGTAGAAAGTGTGCCAGTCATGATGTATGTAGAAAGTTTGCCAGTCATGATGTATGTAGAGAGTTTGCCAGTCATGATGTATGTAGAAAGTGTGCCAGTCATGATGTATGTAGAAAGTGTGCCAATCATGATGTATGTGGAAAGTGTGCCAGTCATGATGTATGTAGAAAGTGTGCCAGTCATGATGTATGTGGAAAGTGTGCCAGTCATGATGTATGTAGAAAGTGTGCCAGTTTATTTTGTACTTATTTCACGCACAGATTGACTCATATCAATGTAAGCCTAAAAATTCAATTTATTATATGACTGTTCCTGTGCATACATATTATAACGTTTAAAAATGCACAATAAGATTTAAATACTTAACGAAATTAAGCTACAAAATGAATTGAATGTAAGAGAATGTTTTGAAATTATTAAACATAAAATGATTTTGAATAGAGATCTAGGGCCTCGTGCTACAAAAGTGTATGTTTGGAAATACATTCTGTAGATGGCATTGTATAATATACAAATTATAGACGTGCACTTGCTGATATAAAAATAAAAAATGAAATTCCCGTGTTTCTTCTGGTCTCCTGAAGATGGTGGAACTTTTCAACCGAAATACGTAGAGTTTTTAATTGTATAAAGTTTTTAATTGTGCATTTTACATTTAACTTAATAATTATTGTGCATTTTTAAACGTTGATTGTTCTTACTTATTTTATGAAACTTAAGAATTTTGTGTTTATTACTGATAATCAATAACACATAGATTTAGAAATGTGTTTTGTTTCTTACTGACAACATATTACTTTCTTGTTTCGCCTCTCTTGGTTTATTCATTTTCTCTCACATCATCTGGCATTCCTCTTTTTTAATATTTTCGTTTGTTTCCTGTCTTCCATATTTGTTCCTTAATTCTCTACCGAACCGATTACTTCCTTTCTGATTTTGAATTTGTTCCTCGTATATATGATGATAACCTTTCATAACTGTAAGAGGTCTTGTAGTCTCAATAATACCTGAACTTAAGAAGACGGCTGCTATTCTCACTCACTACAATAATTTTCTAGTGACGTAGAGAACTGTAAACCTTTAACATATTAGACACTGACTAAAGACGTACCTTTTTTCTCACCTCTGTCAACTTCAACCTATGTTCCTTACTCCTAACTTTATAAAGTAAAAATGAACTGTAACGTAATCGTTGGTTAGAATGGAATTCTGTATAATTTCAACTACAAATGTAATTAAATGGCTAATGTGACGAGGTACCTAAACGGATTTGATCCCTGATTTGTTAATTTGTCTAGGAGCTATCTGTATAGATTGTTTGTTCGATTATCTTAGGGAACGATCTTCCATAAATAAAACATATATATATATATAAATTTAAAGTGTAGCTGAAACAGAACGAATTTCTTACCTCATACATCATTATTTCCAGTACTTTCGTACATGAGTCTTGGAGAATATACCACACCATCATTGTTTCCAGAACACCTTTTTACTATAGTAATATTCTAATGTAAAATTTAAGGTTCAATACTTGATTATTGAAATTTGACTTCTGTTAAAATCAATAAAATATTACCAAATGGGTAAGTAAAAAGTGATCGATATATAGATGTTTCTGGTCGTTAATCTGGCCTGACATGGCTTGATGGTTAGGGTACAACTCGATTTGCAATTAGTGGGTCGAATGTTCAAATGCTGTTACAGAGCATGTTCGCCCTTGCAGCTGTGGGAGCGTTATAATGTGATGGCAAATCGCAAAATGACTATCAGACCTTTTGGTAAAAGAGTAACCCAAAAATAGGTGGTGTTAACTAGGTGCCTTCCCTCTAGTGTATCATTTCTAAATTCACAAACCAAACAAACTTTCGTTAACATGTGGCGCCATCTTTGGGCTTACTAATTAAACTATGGAATTTTCTCCAAACAAGAAGAGCCATTCTGTTCCTGAATCTCATGTCATTCATTCCCATTCTGTACATATTAGGGCAAGTCAAGTCAAAATGTAGAGTAATCTTCCAACGTAATTTAAGGAAGAAGTGGTTCCCACATTTTCAAGCTCAGTAGGGAACCATAAATCTTACGTTTTAAGTTTCTCCTTAGGTAACAGTCTAATGTATCACGTAAACCTATATATGTATCCCAAATAGTCAATAGGATAAGAGAAGTTGTAATGGGTCAGCGTAACAGTAATGATGTTAATCATATATGCCTGATAATGAGCTTAGGTTCAGTGACCTTTCGCTGAAATGGAACATAAAGTGAAACAGTGACTTTACTCACCGCTACTGTTCATGTGACGTGGGGTTATGATAGAAACATTTATAATCATGTTTTACAGGAAACGAACAACGATTACCTATAAATGTACTTGATTTAATATTTCGAATTTATTAAGATTTTAAGCTCTTGTATCTAGCAATGGCTGCTTGCGTAAATCAAGTTGAAAAAAAACAAAACTAAAAAAAAGGATTATTTACTGAATGAACTGTGGTGAATCACGCGTGTTATGTGTGCGACGATCGTATTTTACAGCACTTTTTCGAAACTGATTTGCTTTTCATGGCATTTATATTATTACGCTGAAAGTACCCGGCTTCGCTTGGGTTGTTAGGTTGATATATTCTAGATAACTATGTCAGTGTGTGTATTCTAAGCCCATTTTAACATAAAAGTATAACCTATATATTTTTATCGCTAAGAAACATGACTTACAAGCCATTGTTGGAATGCATTGTTACCAAAAAACACTGACTTTTATATACATTAGAAGTTATTATTCAAGGAACCACTTCTTTTCTATGTGGTTTTTTTTTTTTCGCTAGCTTCCTTCACTAAAAAGATGCGCATGCGCGAGCGCACGTGGATAAGATAAGTTATACCCAGGTGCACACCCCCTCAGTTTGGGTGCAAAATTTGAAAGTGTGAAAAAAATGGTAAAAATATAGATGAAAAACAAATAAAATACATGCAATGCATTTAGACAACGAAACTAAAAAAACAAAAACAAAAAAAAACATAAATAATAATCAAAACATTTCAACTTAACATAATACCAGGCTGAATTGACGTTGCAAAAATACGCATTTAAAAAATCTTGCACATACGAAAGAAGGAGACAGGAAATTATGTGACAACTTGGAATTAAAAATAAAAAAAGCAACTACTACAACACGGACCTGTACATAAGTCGTGACCTTGAAAATTACTTCTGAGGTATGTTGCGGCAGTACGACTCGAGTCCTGCCAGTTAACCCTCCGCTTCTGTTAACAAAGTTTCCAGTCAAGATAATATTGTTAGCTATTCATTCAGTGTTTTTAGATGTTATGTATATATATATATACATTGATCTTCACTCATAGCGTCTTGAAGAAAATAACGTGTTCGTTATGTTGTGAACTATCCCTTTAGATAAGTAAACGTAACCTGTGAACTTGCGAGATACAAAGAGAGGAGCTTTGTCCCCCATATGATGATCGAGTTATACCACATAACCAAAGGAAATACAGGAGACGTCCCGTGTTGTGTACACCTAACTGTCTTAGCGTAAGTAATATGTTTTAATATAATATATATAAATGTTCTTGAAAGTAAACGTGAGAACTTCGACTTAAGTTGTTCATTAGAATTCCAGACCACTACAGTGGTCAAATAGAGCTGTTTCGTAAAGTTGACTAGTCTTCTTCAGGTTTAAAAAAGGACGTCAGTTATGTTTCCACTAACATTTTTAATGAGGTCTGTTATCTTTTCATTACAGAGGGAAACTCAAAACTGTTTGTTATCTTAGGTCTTACCTGTTGAAAACAGAAGAAAAATGTAGGCATTGTAAATTTGTTACATTGAAATAAGAAAACATGCTAGCTAATCTTTTTGTCGCCTTATGTAAGTTTCCAATATGTCGTTATCTCACTCTCTGTATAATTCTGTTCGTTCGAAACTGTAGCCATACCAAAAAAGCTCCGTTTGTTTCGTGGCTGATCTCGGATAGAATTTAAGTTTATAATTTTTTGGAGTTCTGCAGAACTCGTTCTATCTAACACTTACCCTTACGACAATAATGCCATACCTGTCACTAAACTTTCAGGGTTGTGAAGGAATAACAAAGGTTTAAAACAATTTTTAATGAAGCATGTAAACTTTTCTACACTATATTTGGGTAGCTTTGGTAAGACAGTTGATTAATTCATTTCTTATTTTGTCTTTTAAAATTAAGATGGATAGGGATAGAATTCGGTTAAGGGATAAGATTTGGATGTATGGATGCGATGTGGTTGCATATTTCTGTTTTCCAACGACAGAAGCAGAAATATATCAAGAAAATGCTTATTAATTATAACAAACTCGCCATTTTGTGTCATATATATTCT